TAACATATGTTCGTCGCCTGACATTTCAAGTTGCTGAAAAGATATATTCCACATACTTTCAACAGAGAAACAGGACTAGGTCGGAAAAATTGGTTTTACAATTTTATGAAACGGCATCCCTTTTTGTCTTTGAGACTACCAGAGAAAGTATCTATTGCTAGATCTATTCGGGATTCAATAAGCAAAGCGTCTCGACCAAAAACAATTCAAATAGAACTAAACAGTAAAGATTGGTATTGCCTAATATGCGAAAATACTGCTATTGAGGATATAGTGCAGTGCCAAAATTGCAAGCTGTGGGTCCATGAAAGCTGTGCAGGTTCTGGGAAATCTTTAAAAAAATATATTTATGTTAATTGCAAATAAATATTTAGTTTCTTCCATAAAACAAGTTTTAGGTACGATTTGGAGACATAGAGGTACGATTTACCGAATAAGTTTGCCAAATCGTACTGCTCGAAGGGTTTAAGTTTTATTAAGTTTTATATATGTTGTAAGTAATATATTTAGGTTTTCTTTTGCCTATAAGCAAAATAAACTTCTTTTTACTCAAAAATGCTTTTATTAACACTTAATGTCAATAAAAAAGTTAAAGTCAATAAAAAATAGGCGAGATAGTTTGGTAGGACACCTAGGAGTTAAGAGGGGTAGAGGTAGACCTAGATTAGATTACTGTTCGCAAATAGTTAAGGATGTGGGCTGTTCTAGTTTTAGGGAAATCCGAAGGAAGTTTAGCTCAGGATAGGAAAGAGAGGAGGTACATGTCCAACCAGTCTTAGGACTAACGACCTTATGATGAGTGTTAAAATCTAGTCAAACAAACTGAAATTTTCTATTTACAAAATGTTTTGTTCCAAGAAAAGAATATGTTAAAATTGCTTCAAATAGTTTAACTTATCAATCCACCGAAAATAATAATTTTTCATTTAGACTTGCGTGTTTGGTCTTTGTCTTGTACGTTTGCCCTTGGTTTCAGTCTTGGTCTTGTTCGTTCGATCTTGCTTTTAGTCTCAGTCTTGTTCGTTCAGTCTTTATCTTGCTAGTATAAAGACAGACATGTGAAATTTTTTACGAACTTACTAGTCTAGTCCAATCTCTTAATTCCCCTGTAGTATAAATATACACATCTACTGAAAAGATAAATATTGTAAGAGCAGCTTTATGCAGTGATACTAAGAATGCAAAAACTATTAATATTTAGCTTTTAATATTTTTTCTTAATTTTGTAAAATAAGTGTCTTACTATAGGCACTTTATATCAGTATTTATAAAACCCCACGTTTTATGTTGACGTTATATATATGTATTTATTATAAACAAAGGTTTTGGTGTTTTTTCTTCAACAATATATACTTTCCTTGACCTGAGATATGGGAAAGCAAATATACATAAAAAGAAAAGTTATCTAAAATTCTTCTAGTAATCTGTGTTATAGTACCAATACTGGTACATGTGTAAACTTTTAAATATGAAACATAAAACATACGATTCAATTATAAGTAGTAAAAACTGTGGGAATGCGAGAGTAAGTACTATACTATAATATTGTTTACAAAATATCCCATTTTTCATATTCCCACGTAATAATTAAAGTTAAGTTAAAGATATCTGTTATCACAACTGTAGTATAACGGTAGTTATGAAAATAATAAACGAAAAGCATCTAACTTACAAAACAACTGTAGAAAAATGGAATCTTGTCCGAAAATGGTACGAATTTTATTAATGTGTAGTAGAGTTCAGTATTAAATAGGTATTATTTTTATTGTTTAAAAGTAGTAGGTATATACCTCACACACTTGCTAATCATAAGTAGCAGTAATGAAATTAGTAATTGTTTTTGATTTTTTTTTAATTGTCGCTGAGAAAGAATCATGAAGCGGAAGCGGATGTCCAAACCCCAAAAACCAATAGAAGGAAATACCTGACGATGGTCGTTATAGCAAGTAAGTCAGACAAAATACTTACAAGATAAATGATATTAATCCAACCAAAGACTCATGAAATCTACAATTTCAATTTTTTGCTGTTTTTATTAATTTAAATGCAAATAAGATGAAGGCTCACTTTTTAAAGTCCAAATTAATCTATTACAATTAAATATTATATGGTCATGCTATTAGAGAAACTATTCAGAAAAACATTTTTAAAACTATTATTAATAGGTGCCAAAATTAAATAAACTAGAAAGATAATAAGTTTTATAAAGACAACTACATCATAAGTAAATAATTTTTAACTATAAGACCTTGTCAGCAAAACCCCACTAGATGGCGATATACAGCCTGAACTTGAATATTATAAAGAGATTAAAACTAAATCTATGCAAGATAAAGTGAATATAATCTTTAAACTGTATATGACTGGCCCCAAGATCATTCAGACAATTAGATTTTATGTTATTGTAGGTAATGTATGTACCACCGTTTTCGAATAATTTAGACATTTTTTAAATTTTTAAATTAATGTAATTAAAATATTTAAAAAAAGTGTGATTCAGTCTTATTCTTCTTTCTTTCTTGCTTTCTTTTTTCTTTCTTTCTTTCGGATGTTTTTATTTAATTTTACCAGTTTAATGTATATTATTAAGAATCACGCACACAAATGGTTACTAAAAATCTACGCAACGATCGAAGTGCTTTAAACTTCAACTTACAACTTCCCTGTTAAAAGCCTCTATTATAGACCCGAAGCGGGAGGAAGTCATGTCATAAGGTTTGAAAGTTGCATTTGAATGTAAGTGGTAAGATATATACGTTTTACTCTTTAACCGTTTTGAATTAAAACGAATCAATTATGACAACTATTGAAGAAGAACGTCTCGAAAATGTGAACTGTTTACCTTTTGGTGTAAAGTTAGTAGGATTCGAATGAAATTTGTAGTTATATGTACTTTAATAGTAGAATAATATTTGAATTATAAATAACAAATAAGAAAAGCGTACATAAATCAGTCCTTTAATCAATAAACCAAAAATTAATCAACTTATTTTACCTTGCTATAGATTAATTTCCTTATTAATAATACTTGGCTATAATTGCTTACAATAAAAATTATTAAAATTTAAATTAAAATGTTAGGCAAGCAAGCTCGCTGTAAAATAATTGGAAGTGGTCTATATTCTGTCGAAACTGCCAGACGCGGATCGCGATTTCGATCTTCTTGGATCTCATCAGCGCGTCGCAGGCAGCTCCGACAGAACACAGACCAACTTTTACCTGCTGTCTTAACAGTGCGTTTTAGAAAATACTACAAATGGCTCAGTAAACGCCATCTGTAGCACGATGCTACATTTTAGGGTTACGTATGCTCCAACAAGGTCATCGTGCTACAGATGGCATTTACTGCGCCATTTGCCNTTTTAATCTTCTTATCTCACGATATAAATAAATAAATAAATAAATATTTTATAACCGTTTTTTTTTCGTTACTAAGTATGTGTAGTCTTTGTCAATTACGTCCTGTTACAGCATAGCACTCCTTTTATCGACTTCCTATTCCTTTTCTCTGGTAATAAGTAAAACCAAGACCATGGCTGGGACAGGATCTTGCTTATTCGGTATTGGTTTTGGACTTTCTTAAATACCTCTGGTCTCGACCTTGGTCTGGTTAGTGTAGCCTCGATTTTGGTCTTGGTCTTGCTTATTAAGTCTCTTAATCTGATATTTATGCTTTCTGAATAATTTTTATTGTATTATATTTATGGTTGTTCGGAAAGTCATTTCGTTTTTTTTTGTGGAAATGAAAGACAGTTTTCGTATAATAAACAAATACTTTATTAAATTATATATTGACCGTTCTGGTCCAACACCTTTTGCCATCTTTCTGGTAGTAGCATAATTCCACGCTCATAAAATTTTTGGTCTTTGCTGGCAAAAAACTGATCGAGGAGGTTTTTGACCTCCTCATTTGAGGTGAAGGTTTTACCGTCTAAAAAATTTTGGAGTGACCGGAACAAATAATAATCCGATGGTGCCAGGTCTGGAGAATATGGTGGGTGTAGCATTGTATCCCATTCAAGCTGTAAAAGCTTTTGGCGAGTGACCAAACTTGTGTGAGGTCTCGCGTTGTCTTGGTGAAACACTACACCTTTCCTGTTGATTAGTTCTGACCTTTTCTGTTGAAGTGCATCATTCAGTTTGTCCAGCTGATGACAGTAGACTTCCGAATTAATCGTTGTGTTATCCGGTAAAAGCTCAAAAAAAACGATTCCTTTAAAATCCCACCAAACAGACAGCATCACCTTTTTTTGGTGAATATCGGCTTTGGAAATGGTTTGAGCCGGTTCATCTTTTTTGCTCCATGACCTCTTGCGTTTGACGTTGTTGTATACAACCCATTTTTCGTCCCCAGTGATGATGCGCTTCAAAAACGGATCATTTTCGTGACGTTTGAGAAGCGAATCGCAGACGTCAATGCGGCGACACAGATTTCTCTCTGTGAGAACATGGGGAACCCATACATCGAGCTTCGAGGATAATCCCAGGCCTTTCAAGTGGTCATAAACTGTTGAATTTGATAAATTTAACCTCAATCCGATCTCACGTGTTGTTATTCGCCGGTTCACATCAACTAATGCCTTTATCGCGTCTTTATCAGCTTCAACCGGCCTTCCCGAACGTGGTGCATCTTCGACATCAAAATTGCCGGATCGAAATTTAGCGAACCAGTTCTGGCACTGGCGTACTGTCAACACACCTTCTCCATACACATCAGTCAATTTCTTTCTGGCTTGAACAGCATTTTTACCCTTTCTGTAGTAAAACAGTAAGATATGTCGAAAATGCTGCTTATCGCTCTCCATATTTAAAAGGGCACCAACCAAAAACTACTGCGTAGAATTAATTGGAATTTTTCACACACAAGCCTTGCTATATGAGCTCTCCAAGCATATAAAAATTATACGGCTTAAATGTGAAGTTGGGTGCAAAAGAATACAATTAAATCCTCTGTCGGAAAAAAACGAAATGACTTTCCGAACAACCCTATATATTACTGACAATTTAATTTGTTTAGGTAACTTGAGTACATTTGCTTCTGGCATATTATTATCGTGGACTTCTCCAGTACTACCCAGACTGAACACAATCAACGATAACAACCCTTTCGGAAGGGCAGTAACACCATCGGAACAGTCCCTTATCAGTTCTCTTTTACCTCTGGGAGCATCGTTTGGACCTATATTTGCAGGACTATTGACAGACAGGATAGGAAGGAAGAAAACACTTTTATACTTTACAGGAATAACCCTTTTGGCATCGTTTACCACATTAATTTTTACAACATCAATTGAAGTATACTATGTGGCAAGATTTATTGCTGGTATTGGTGCTGGAAATTGTTTCGTTGTTATCCCAATTTATCTTGCCGAAATATCGGAAGCAGGGATAAGAGGGACTGTTACCTCGTTGTTTACAACATCTCTAGTTACAGGCTCACTGTTTTCCTATGTTATGGGACCTTTTGTTTCACTCACAACGTTCAACGTAATGTGTGCCATATTTCCCGCTCTATTTATATTGACTTTCCCTTTTTGTCCTGAAACTCCTCACTATTTAATATCGAAGAACAGCATACGAAAGGCTCACTTGTTACTTTCGAAATTGAGGAATAAAACTACAGAAAACGTAGAGGTGGAATTTAAATTAATAAAAGACAATGTGGAAAGCGATATGAAAAATAAAGCGAGCGTTTCTGTTATAGTTACAAGTTCGAGATACAGAAAAGCATTTTTCATTTGCCTCGGACTATTTACTATTCAACAATTTTCGGGAATTTGTGCAGTACTGTTTTATACTGCAGATATTTTTAAGGCCAGTGGTAGTTTCATAAATCCTAATTTATCAGCGATAATAATTGGTACTGTTCAATTGATTGCAAGCTTATTGACTCCAATATTTGTTGATAAACTTGGACGTAAAGTTTTGCTGCTTATATCAGCCTCGGGGATGTTTCTCTCTGAATTACCACTCGGTCTTTATTACTACCTGAAGGAAAACCATCATGATGTTAGTTTTATTGGATGGTTACCAATATCATGCCTAATTTCTTATATTATTACTTATATTTGGGGTTTTGGAGCAGTGAGTTGGATTATGATGGGAGAACTGTTTTCAGCTGAAGTGAAAGCTATTGCTTCTACCATGCTAACTAGCTATTGCTGGTTCCTTTCCTTTATTGTGACTTCACTGTTTTTGAATTTATTGAATTTAATTGGTACAGCAGGAGTTCTTTGGCTTTTTACTGCATGTTGCTTTCTAGCTATATTCTTCACCATCTTTTGCATCTTTGAAACTGCTGGCAAAACGTTCCAAGAAATACAGGATATGTTAAGTAAATGATTTTATTATTATACAATAGCAAATCTGCACTTATTGATTTTTAAATAAAATAAAAAGGTTCAGTCCTGATAATTTAAACATAAACGAGCGATTTTATATATTTATTTATAAACGTAATTATAAAAGTAAAAATATTTCAAATTATTTACATTTTTTTTCTTATACATATTTCGAAAGACAACAAAACAATTAATCAGATGGTATTTTTGTGACAACTAATTGTTCAGACAGAGCATACACATTGAATTACTACGATGAAACGTATCACCTTTTGACTTAATCACTGCATTAATCCTTTTAGGCATACTATCTGCGAGCTTTTGGCAATCTCTAGTTGAAAAATTATCCCAGATATCTTAAAGTTTAACGCTCAAATATGTAACTGTTCTTTGTAGGTTTCCTCTTAAATGTCTCTTCATCTACGAATTTATTTTTGACGTGACAACGTTTTATAATTCGAAAAAAACATAACTCAGGCGGCGTTACCTCGCTCTGAGGCGTTCCATTTAAGGCTTGAAGTGCAAGCGAGAGCGCGGAACGAGCGACAAAGAGGCACAATCGGCCTCCGCGTTCGGCAGCGTTCGACATCTGTCTCTCTC